ACATAAAAGATGATCAGCTTAAATGAGTCCAGAGAGAAATTGGACGTGAGATAGAGAAAGTTGTGATTGTGGCGTCATGAACGAAGACATCCTCTCAGATGACATCCTCATTATTCACATTGATAGCGACCATTACCGAAGCCTATTATTGCGGGGCGAATGGGGCAGGGGAGGGGGTGCTCCCGGCGGCCATCTGTTTCTGCAATGATAGTGATGGCCGGCCGCGGCGCTTTGGATCTGCATGTGGATTATGGCACATTTATTCACACAAACGCCATTCTCCACAGGTATTCTGCATTCCACGATTGACCCTATTCAGAAAGAGAGAGAGAGAGAGAGAGAGAGAGAGAGAGAGAGAGAGAGAGAGAGAGAGAGAGAGAGAGAGAGAGAGAGAGAGAGAGAGAGAGAGAGAGAGAGAAAAAAAGAAAAAGAAAAGAAAGGGATAACTTGTGAGTCAAGGATTGAGGAAGCGAGTGTCTGAGGGAATGGAGTGGAGACTTGACAACCGACGTGACAAGTAGGTGTTATTTGCCTGTTATTTGCGACATCATTACTCATAGATTCTTTATGTGTATCAGTGTGAGGGGTGATTGTCATGTTGCCAGGGTGCGTGTGTTCGTGGGAGAGAGAGTGCGCGTAGTCAGTGTGAAGACAGCTCGATGAAGCTGGTTGGTGTCACTCTTATTTCCTCTCGTGACACTAAAAATCCCTCTCTTGTGAAGGAGTTTGCGAAAAAGGAGCGGTCGACCTGCTTGCAAGGATTTTTTTTATTCTTTTTGTTTTGTTTTTCCAATTTTAGTTGCTTACGCGTTGTTGATTTACAGCCTGATATAAATTAAAACGCGTTTAATCGCTGTATTTAAAGAGATGTAAGCTGACACGCCAAATGTGTGATCTTCAGAGTCGTCGGTGGATTCGAAAACAATTATCGGCGCCCCCCCCCCCCCATCATCCTCACCCACCATTTGAAAGTGCGGGTGAATTGATCTCATATTCACTGCTATTTCTGCATTAAAACGCCGCACGAGAGGTACCGCTGCCACTACGAAAGTAGTTATGATTTCATCGCGTCGCGGGCTCTCATGGCGCCGAATACAGGCGATTGGCGACAGCGTTGGGATACCAATGGAGTGTTGTCCGGCGGCGTCAACCTTTCTCGACTGTATTCCAGCTTTTTACGAACTCGCCGGAAATGTTGGCTTTGCAAAAGAGATTCTTGACATTGTGAAACACGACAGAATTCAGGTTATATATATGTGTGCGTGTGCGTGTGCGTGTGCGTGTGCGTGTGCGTGTGCGTGTGTGGGAGGGGGAGTACAGACACAGAAGAGAGGTGTGACGGCGTCTGAAGGACTAAAGCCAGAGCAGAAAGCATTAGTAGAGAAGGTTAACGTTAAGGTGAGATTATTAGAATGATGAAACATAACTGTATCTTCGCTGGCCTTTGCGCCACGAGGCTGTTGTAATGCTGCCTCATCTCTGTCTCTTGCATTGAGCAGTTGATAGTTCATTTGATTGTGGGTAATATTTGTGACGAATCTAGTAAATGAAAACTGTATCGCTCTCTCTTTTCCGCACACTCACTCGATTACTCACGCACTCAATTTTTCACTCTGTTATTCACTCTCTCTCTCTCTCTCTCTCTCTCTCTCTCTCTCTCTCTCTCTCTCTCTCTCTCTCTCTCTCTCTCTCTCTCTCTCTCTCTCTCTCTCTCTCTCTCTCCTCTCCCTCTCCCTCTCCCTCTCCCTCTCTCTCTCTCCCTCTCTTCTCTCTCTCCCTCTCTTCTCTCTCTCCCTCTCTTTCTCTCTCTCCCTCTCTTTCTCTCTCTCCTCTCTCTCTCTCTCTCTTTCTCTCTCTCTCTCTCTTCTCTCTCTCTCTCTCTTCTCTCTCTCTCTCTCTTCTCTCTCTCTCTCTCTCTCTCTCTCTCTCTCTTCTCTCTCTCTCTCTCTCTCTCTCTCTCTCTCTCTCTCTCTCTCTCTCTCTCTCTCTCTCTCTCTCTCTCTCTCTCTCTCTCTCTCTCTCTCTCTCTCTCTCTCTCTCTCTCTCTCTCTCTCTCTCTCTCTCTCTCTCTCTCTCCCTCCCTCCCTCACTCTCCCTCCCTCCCTTCCTCCCTCCCCCTCTCCTTCCCGCTCGTTCCTCTTTATCTCCCCTCTCTCTTTCTGTCTCAAATACACATGCATACGCATATGCACGTCGACATTAACAATCACAATCACTCAAACACACACACACACACACACACACACACACACACACACACACACACACACACACACACACACACACACACACACACACACACACACACACACACACACATACATACATACTCCCTCCCTCCTGCTTTCCCTTCCTTTTCCACTTTCTCTTTTTTCGCCTCCCCCTTCGTGTCTCACATT